TAACTTACTAAAGACCACCATCCTTTCCACACACGTAAACCAAAGTCGCCATTAGACCCGCAAAACCCTGAGGCCCTGCAACGCTTGTCATGCCCAAATCATGGGACATCCACCTTCAGGACAGGCTGCTATTATCCCATACACATACACAAAACTGTTGCTAGGAGGGAAGCGTCTAAGTCGAACTCATCTCGACAGAATGATAGGCAGAGAAACCACTTTGTTGCGGGTCGACAGGGTTCCTCACCTGGATTGTCAGTTGCTCGTTCAGGCGTAGGGGTGAGGTGGAGACGTCAGAGACGACCTCGCAGGAGTCCACCGACTCCGAGACGCATCGAGATTTACCTTTCACACATCCGGATTCGGGACGAGCACAAATAGTAAAACACTTATTGTTAGGCAGCGATGTGGATGATAGAGTCCATACATTGGTGTTGACAAGATGGATACTCTTAATGTAATCCAGATGAATTTCATCAGTTAAAGCAGGATATTTTATGTAGATTTTACACACACACATATATATATATCTTTATAACTGAAAGGGAATTACGTAGTGAAGACATGGAGAATGAACCTATCAAAATGCACAAAACTCTCAAAATGGTGAGGTGTTGGTACAGACTGGATTTGGACAAATTTATGATCAAATTTCCCTATCGCAGGGCACTGCAGTATTATTATGCATTCCAACACACTTATCTGTATTGTAAATCAACTTCTCGTCACAACAACAATAAGGTACAATAATCGGATCTATTGGGGACCAGACAGGGCAGTTTACTCCGACATCCTCTTAAAATACGAACCACGTGATGCAACAATGCAGGCAGTTTCTTTCACGTGACATGCTACAGGGCCATTGGAGAACGCAACCAGAGCGGCAGTGGAGTCGGATGTTTTTGCCTAAGATAGAGAAAGTAAAATGGGAGGTAATTTACTCACGGGAAACCTCAGAACGTCTGCGTTTGGGAGGCCACACACTGGTAGTGGAGGAGCCAGTGGCAAGGGCGGTCTTCACTTTGCGTCGACTCATGGAAGGGGCAGTCAGAGGAGTAGCGGGACGTTTAGGAAAACTGAAGGAGCGATTACGCATAGTGATGGAGACGGATGCCTGCAGGGGGGGTGGAGGTGGAGGCGTTGCCGCCCACGCTCGCGGTCCGACGTCTGAGAGCTAGCAATGAAATTGGAAACCCTTTTGTTAAGGCTATAGTTTTGATCTTGCTCCAGTTCATGATATCGCCTACAGTTTGTTGCTGTGGGCGAAATATCATGCAAGTGTCTGAGTCCTTATAGGCTTTAATAAAAGGATGTCGAATCAGAGCTCACAGTTGGTAATCATCCCAAGTACAAGTTCTGCAACCAACAAGTAAAACGGCTTTCGACTTGATGGTCCACTACGAAAAGGCCATGCTCCACTGTATTTCTCTTTTAGCCTAACAGAATCCATATGACAAAGGGAGAAATTGAATGTTAGTCCTATCGAGTTATTTTAGCTTTTCTCTCTTAGCACACCTGCTTTAGACAATCTCGCGAAGGGTGAGGAATGTTTGTGGTACTTTCCCCGCACTTAGCATTGCAAAGCCGCAATAAAGCAAACCAGACGTCTTGAATCTGAATCGACTATCTAATCACCGCTTGGTGAACTAAACAGCGATTTTCTTTGCTAATTTAGGGGTGGATGGCAAAGCAACAACGAAGACTTCATTGTCAAGAGGAAGTGGCTTTGTGACAGAATTATGACTTGCTTTACACTCAACAATTCAAGTTTTAACGCCCCAAACCTTCAACCGCTGTTTCGGCGGCATGGTACATCCATAACTACTGCGCTGTGCCACAGTTTGGAGCTCTTTAATCATTTTTCATTGGCACGATCCGGGCAAGCTGACCTGACCCATATTCGGGGCCGTGGAAACTACGTTCCCTCACAGAAAATACAGCTTTTTAACTAGAGAGTTACTATTTGAAATAAACGGTCGAGTAGACAATAACCAACGTTGCGACACTGCATGTGCGCAAGACATCTAGCTCCGCTAAAAAAGGTAAAGCATAAAATCCAGACGCTTCTGAAACGTTAATTTGATGTACTGAAGTATTAAGCAAGCTTGACAAGAGGAAGACGTACTGAAGACGATAAAATAAACTTAGAGGTCATTGTTGAACTCTCGTTTCCTTCATGCAAACCAAATGGGATAAAAAAAATTGACATGAAGTACAAATCATCGGATGAATAAAGAAGAAATGGGAACGAATTTACTAGGAACGGTTCCCATTACCGCTATTGTAAACCAAATACTCTTCTGATGTATATTCGTCTTTTGCGGACGAAATTGCCCAAAAAAGAGAGGTGGATTGGGGCACATGCATGTTGGTATTTTGACCCAATTCTCCAACCTCATTCGTGATTCCAATTTCCACGAGCTAAGAATAGCTTTAAATAGGTACTCATTGTGGAGGTAAAGGTTGACAGAATTCGAGGTTCACTGGATGAAGGGAGAAACAGGTTCTGCTAATCAAATTCGTTTGTGAGATGAATAATGACCATCCTTAGCGCTAAACAAATACATTCCAAAGGCACGAACGTGCTTTGTACTATTTCCTACATCAAGGATTGAAACCACGAGCACAACAACACAAGGTGTAAGCAGTAGAGCAAATTTAGCGAAGAAAATCTCACAGTCTCATAGAGCACAAAATGCAAATCCCCAACCAACTTTACAACATTTACTCCTACTAACGAGGTGAGTGGCTTTCCTCATATGATGCAAATTTAGTATGCCGCCTTTTCATTCTCGTCACGAGGTTAATTAGGGGTCTTAGAGGCAACCGAACGGGCGACAAAAACCGGTGGAAAACTCATGCAAATAAAGATGTGACGTTGGACTACTTGTTCTACTAACAATGCAGATGCTTCGAGATCTAAAAGTTGCTTCTCATGCCAGCGCCATATCACTATGCCCTTGTGTATAGTTTCATAACCTTGGGGTATGCCGTATCAAGACTGACTCTATGGAGCGACACAGTAACATTAATGAGAGCTGCAGTAAACTCACAGGGCACACTTTCGCTGTTTCCTCCAGAACCTCAGTGTCCACACTGAGCGGTGACATTTGCAGCACCTGAGAGGGAGAAGTGGGTTCAGTGGCCTTCTGATCGATGACCATACTGAGGAGAGAGAGAGGGCAGGTGTTTGGATCAGTGTAGGTGTTCGGAAAAGATAGCTGTTGAGTTTTTGGTGGCACCGGAGGCGGCGGCGGCGGTGGTGGTGGTGGTGGTGGCGACTTAACAGTCTCTGGAGCCGCTGAGTGTCTATTGGCAGCCCTACGTCGCTGTATCAGATTGAGTTGCCTTAACTAAAAACCAAGCACAAATATTGTGATCAGAAGCTCTCATAGCTGGCTGCAGAGGAGTATAAAGAACTTATGCATCTGCTATTTTAGGAAGTGCAAGACAGGGAGGATGGATGAAAGAATGATCCCGTACAACTAACAAAGTGGGTAATTCAAACGACGGGACTGATTCAAATTTTTAAGTCGAGGTGTAAACAGTAATGAAAATTGTTCGTAGTCGCGTATGTGCCCGCCAAGTGTTCACGCCTGATTTCGTGTGTGGTAACGTGAACCATTGGAAACAACAACAATAAATAAAACGTGTTGTCAGCATCTATTGTGCCGTCCCGTTGTGCCTTTTCCCGAAGCAAACAACTATTTCAAAGACAAAAAAGAGCTGCATTGCACCACGTGACTCGAACTCGGTCCTAAATTGAGGCTGTCTGCCGATGTGGCTTAGTAAATAAATGCATTAACCGAAGACGGTTTTCTTTATACAAGCCGATAATACTTTTTAAGTAGCTTGATGAGCAAGTATAAGGGTAGAATGGGAAACCATTACTTAATCAGCTTCGTAACCTGTTGTACTAAAAGCATCCTAGCAGTTCCACACGTGCTGAATTAAACACAAAGAGGCGGGTATATGTGATTAACTGTCTGATTCATTCGCAGATCACACCATGCAAAACTGCGCATATACACAAACCCAGATACACACATGGCCTTGGGATGATTCACAAGCATCTAACAGGCTTGCCTACCTCTCTGCCTCGTCCACTCCCTCATCCCATTTCCTCCTCCGCCTCCGCCACTTCAAGCAGTAGCGCGTCATCTGGGCTGGACATTGGACCGTAGGTCGAGGCGCGTTATTTGCCTCACCATTTTCGCTTCGCCCATCAAGTCACCCTCACTATTCCACCATGACCTTCCCATTCGGAAAAACGCATGCGCTCCTAGAACTTAAGAATCAAGCTTCCCACCAATTCAATCCTAATCAAGCCGGATACTGCCCTTCCGTGTCAATTGAAGAGAGATTGATCGATCGGAAGAATTGTGGAAGGAGGAGGAACCGACTTGAGGAAAGGGGTCATCGTTAAGAGGGAAAGTCATCTTTTTTAACTTCTTGCGTGTGTGAGTGAGAAAGTGGGAGAATAAGAGCAGCAGTACAAAGTCGAATAATTGGTTGGCTGGACCTTGCTTTCCTTGAATTGAAAAAAGCACTATTTTCCATAAACACGATTTAAATTATTTCACAATCTAATCAGGATTCACTACATTGTTGTAATTTCCACTAAGTTGTGAAACTACACCGAAACCACGCAGCAATTGATTGTAGGGCATGTCACAAGTCAGACGCGTGCACAATGATGCATCTTATATACGTGTGTTTAATACGGCAGTTCACACGTACTGGAGGGAAATGACACCTGAACGTTAACTTAAACACTTCGTCAAGTATGAATCAGCACACCTAATGAACTAGAGAAGTGAAGAACGACTTTGTTGGCGTACGGAAAATCGGTAGGAGTATGCAAACCCATTCCCAATGGGGGAGAAGGTTCGTTTACAACGCTTACTTAAGTGGGTGAATTTAGTCTTGATCACTCGTGTCCCCAAGACAGTAGACGTGGAATGAGTACCTTTCTATCCTAGTGAAAGCTTTCTCCAAACCTGATAACAATGGGACGATCGAATTGAACGGTTACCTGGTAACAACAAGGGAATACACCGGATGAGATCATGCAGAGCAGTAATGAGGGTTACCCTCAAATGATCCATAAAGCCTACGGAGAGAGAGCGACCCGTTACTAAGTATAAGTGCTTCTGAATACCTGAAATTGGACGCCCGAACTGCCTAATTAGCAGTGACAAAGTGGCTTTCGCACCAACTCTCCTGTCGAGAACCGTATGTTTAAGCTTTCACAGTCAGCACACACCCATTAGATACAGTATGACTTCAGTTTGGGTGTAGTCAAGATGGAGATCAGTCATCCTCGATGTAAATGACTAGCATCCTTAGTCATAAACACACACGTACCAAACTCAAGCATCCAAGTTGGCCGTACGTCCAATAACTTCGAAGGGTTTAAATATTAGTGGGATAATCCAGGAAATAGCGACAATGCTATTTCCAGAAATAAAAAGCAAGGGTTACGAGGAAACAAGATGGTTGCAGCATTCGTGGCATTGGCGAAAATGGACAATATGCTTTAACCAGAAGCCTATTGCTTACCTTTCGCTTGCACCGTGTAAGATCTTTGTATATCACGGCCAACTGATCAGCAAGCTCCTTGCCTCTGGCTGTAGGGTAGCGAAGGAAGGCCAAAGCTTTCCACTCGGGAAGGGTAAGAAGGTGACGAAGGACAAGCGAAAATGACGGCTCTGATAGTGGCAAGCTCCGATAAAAATTGGACAGTGTAAAAGGTACGATTGGAGGAATCGCCACCTCCGCCTCAGTAGCCTGCTCCTCCGCCTTGTCGATCGCCACCACAGCCACCATCTCTCTCAATCTGCGCCCCAGCACCGCCGCTGATGCTTCAGCAGCCTCTTCCACGGCGTCCTCTTGAGGAGATACGTTCTCTGGGGCGGTGTAGAGGTCAGAGGGCTTTGCAAAGAGATTAATGGCAGCATCAATAAACTTCTCCACCTTCTTCAATAAACGCTTCGAGTGTGAAACACCGATCTCGATGAGGTGAAATTCAGGAATGTCGGACGGCCCAGGACGAGGTTTCATGGAGAGGTCTAGAGGAGCATTGGTGTCTGACAGACAAAGAGGGGTACCAAAGAACATCGCAATTAGGCTGCAGGCCTTTTTACACCTCACCATGAGAGTGTTCAAGTCAAAATGAGGCTTTGCTCTCACAGACACATAGCAATAAGTTGCATCCTTTGTGGTGTTAAATACAGTATTGAATAGCAGACGATAAGACAATGTTATCAACATACGTATGGAACCCTGCGTCCTAACAAGGGTGATGTGTAACTCAATTCCGTGAACGTCCAACTGCATTTATAAAAAGCAGTGCACAACCCACCATGCCACAGATCAATCACTCAGCACCACACCTTACAATAACAACGATGTTAGCGACGATCACTTCCAATCCATACCATAGCAGCCCTCCGTGAGAAACACCTAATCACCACAACCTGTTCCACTCAAACCGAAAAATAGATGAACCTTTCTTTGGAAAATAGCATGTTTGTTCAAAAGAGGTTGTCTTGAAACGCTTTGGATATACTGGCAAGTATTTCGATGCACGAGTTTTTAGACATTAATTAAGTGTACGCACAAGTGCAACCATGACTCGAGGGAGGTACGACAGGCACGAAATATGAAACCCCTCCATGAAATGCGTTTCGTTCTTTACTAAGGTAAAATGCCTCCAGTTAACTTAAGTCATTTGCACAACACACAAATGGGGATTTAAGATGAAGTGGAATTAATGCATATACAGGCGTTGGTGATACAGTGTTTGATAACTGAATCCATCAAATGGCATAACAACAAGTCCAACCATCTTCCTCAACGGTTCTACATATCGGCCATCCAAAACTAGAAAACTGCCATTTAGTGCAAATATAGAACTCGCTTTCAGAGCGTCATAAAACACCCAAATAAGACAGCTGATTTGTTACCTCATTCACTGAGTGGTTGAAGTAAACACAAATTTCTCGCTCTCAAATCCGCCCATCGATACACAGTGTCGGAACCATCTCATCAATAAGCACCACCAGATGAAGTTGAGAAAATATGGTCGCAACCACTTTTAGGGGAGGATATTCTCATTAATTATGCGTAGAGATGGTAAGGAACCATGTCATGCCATTTCAAAGGTAGTAGATCATTAGGGAATGTTTCGAACCACAAATTTACCTTCTACTCATGTAAGAACCGTGTACGGATCTACCATATATGAGTGCAAGACCATTTTCAACTGCCTTGGTTCGCTTTATCCCAAAATTCATGCACCATTCGTGATTGAGCAACAGTTACGCGCTCTTCTCTACGTTTTGTTTAGGGACATTTTTTTGCGTTTCAGTGACCGATACTGCTTTAGAGCCACCACCAACGATCATAACCTTTTTTGCAGAGGCCTTGTTTCCGGAAAAAGCTTTTATTACTTTTAAACGATCTAAGCATTGGCATAAACGACTTGGAGGAGCACAGCGAACTGCCATTTCATCAGGCATCGCGATACAAAGAAAAAAAAACGATGTAAGGAAAATCTATCCCCCTCACCGTCTCATGAAAAACCCAAAGCAACACATCTTTTGTGCTTGAATTAACATCATTTACTTTTCACAACACCCCTTCCATCTATGCTGCGTGTAGGAAGTAATAGAAAAAAAATCACTTCGCCCCTTTCCCCGGGTATTTCTGTGCCTTAAATCTCCACACTCAGGCAGCAACACCAAGCATCAATTGGCATATTAGTAGAGACAAATTTGGCATTTGACTTTGGCACTTTAAATTATGCAAAAAAACCCGGAATCGCATGTGCTTACGGAGAAAACACAATTTAAGAAGGAAAATAGGACTGATTCATCTGCAGTACACATCCACTTTCGAATCTTGAGAGTCCATCCGACCCGTAACATGGTTCCCCAGCCCTTTTGTGTGTCTATGCACTGCACTTTAGGGAAGTCTCCAAGCTTTACATTTGTACAACTTTACACGACTTCAGTAAGCATGACTAATAATAAATTGAAATGAAGACCATTCTGCCCAACAAATAGCCTTAGATTATTCCAAAAAACACGTTTAAAACCGTAAAGTTAAAATGGAAATAGTACTAAGGGGAAAGTGTTTGTGGGCATTTTTAGAATTCATTTTTCGTCTTTCAGAAGGAAGTAAAAACACGAAAGCAGTGAAGCAAATACCTGAAATTTCCATATCACAGCCACTCTGCGGTTCGGAGAATTCCAATCCCCCTTCACTCTGTCCCGCAGGCCTTTTTTCATCTGAGTTTCCTGCTAAAGCATTCACTGAAGGTAGCGGCGATGGTGATGATAATGGAGGCAACGGCAGCAGTGGAACAGAATTGAAAGACGAGCGGTCTTCGAAATGGCTGCTGCTGAAGTGGAGGCAGCGTCGACTCTGAGCCGTGAGATCGACTAGGCCATCGCATGATACTGAATGCGGCAGTGGTGGTGGAGCTAAGGCTGCCACAACTCGTCCATCAACACTGTCACCGTAGTCGTTCACAATCATTCTACTCACCAATCAAGGAAATACAGGTTTCAAGGGAGGAAAGTCGGAAAAAAGAGCGTGTTTAGAGGGCAATATAGAGTAGAAAGGGGGAACCCAATGCAAGTCAGATTCTTAATGATGCTAAACCCAGGAGTGAATGGTAAGTCTACCCCGTTATTGAACTTAGTTTCTAATGCGCACCCTAAGGGACCAGTCCAGATACCCGTTGATAAAAGCAACAGACCATGTTACTAGAGTGCACAGTGTGATAAAAAGCAGAACCGCATAACCGGAACTCACCAAAATTTACTCATTCTTACGGAAAACTTTGGCGACACCTGAAAACCGTACTCCTTGTAGATAGGTAATAACATCAGCGAGTGCAGCTTCCAAATTCACATTCAGCCAGCGCGTGAAATGCCCAATCTTGAATGTCTTATCTACGCCTAAGCAGGAGAATGTGGACTGGACAAGGGCCAGTCTTGCAGTAACGGCACAACCACATAAGCACATTTATAAACTTCACCATTACTTCTACCTGAGCGCGCATGTCTTTTCTCAAAAGTTTAGGACAAATGACAAAGCGAGGTGACTTGTCCCGGCACGGCCCCACTGTGCCAGCAGGTGGAGGCGTGAAAGGATGCGCTGTAAACGCTAGCAAAATCATGGAGTGAACAACATCAAAGTGGCAGGTACTACTTTCATTCCTTAAAATGCAAAACCTGTTTCGCTACTTCTGTGAATTCAAGAGTCCTGAATCGGTTTGAATTGACCCGCATGCCGGACAGTCTCCTACTTGTGTGTGTGGGTGTGTATGCAGTAGACGCCTTGATTTTAGCGCAGAAGGGGAAAAAACCACAAGTGCAACCAAAGCAAGTGGAACGATTACATGTTTCAGTTAAATTGCCTGTTGCGAAATGCTAATGTGGTTTACAGAAGTCGTCTAATAAAACATGGTGTTTACTCGAGTAGGAGCAATTATTCATTACTATGAGCATTTTCGCCACATGTGAACCAGAGAGCTGGTGATTCAGATTCACAAACAACAATGGTCTGCTTGAGGAAGGACAGATGAAAACGCTCAACCCGCCTGGCGCTGAAGCTGTAGGCGAAGGGAAAAGTAGGTGTACCTTAAATTGTCAATAAAATTTAAACATGCGGAGGCTAATGCGGTGCCTAGCCTATTCGTTATTGCTCCTCCCTCCCTGACCTACTCCATTCGCGGCCGTATACTGGTGTTGGGGCACTAATTTTGGAGTAACCAAATACAAACTACTTTTACTGTAGTGAGACTGAATGCGCCTCTTAAATCGTTCAAGCGAATTGTAGTAGTGGAGATGTAGCATGAAGACTTAACATCCAGTGGCTGCGTAAACTGACGTTAAGCATTTGCGTTTGCATGATATGTAGTCAATTTCGATGGCAGCAGACAGGCCATGCGGAAACAATGAGGAGAAAGCAACCTGATTACCCTTAAAAGACTGGCAGCATCCAAATGTGTTCGGAAACAACGACCGACGAAAAATGCAACGCAAAAGGAGGTAAAAAATCCCACCTCTGCCCAACAATTCATTTCAACGTGTACAATGGTTAGGCAGGCTTAGATGCTGAAAGCCATGAAATGGAAGTGCGGCCGATCGGCTACGATTCTGGAAGTCATCAATGGTAAGGTAGCGTTTCCAGGCCAGTTATCATCCACTTAGTATTCAACCCAGGCATTAAGTTGATCCCACTAATAAAGCCAAATCTGTGCTGCCTACTAAGTGCTACGATGCCATTCATTCACTATTCATAAAAGTTAGACCTTTAGAGCCATTGTTAATACCTACATGGAAATTCGTGCAGGGGAAGGAAGGAGAAACTTTGGATACATGAAATGCTAAAACACCGAACACCAAATGTATTCAGGCCTTCCAATTTGTAAGCTTCAGTGTGCACTCCTCCCCCTTTCCCCTCCCCCACTACGTTTGCGGCTAGATGCGGGGCTCATGGCTAACTGGTTGGCTTTGTTCCACTAAGGCATCGTTGGCTCTAAGTAGACAGTAAAACGACTGACTGACTGACTGACGTTGGCCACACAAGGGAGCCGAATAACGAACATTGACACATTACAAAAACATCACCAAGGTCGAGGAAACGATCGTTCAGACCGGACTAATATGAGTGGTTTTTTTTTTAAATTTGATCGTTTGTATAAAGTTAGGCTGGAGAAGAAGGGAGCAACTTACGGAAGTCCCTGTGTCTGCATGCCAGGTGACGGGAAATTTAATCCGGCAGGAATGTCTGAAAGTAAGCAATAACAATAGCGGCGAGTTAGCGGTAGGAATGCGCGCCGGTTTCACGTGTTCAGCCATCGTACACGAAAGCGGGATCTCAAGACAACCAGGGCAAGGAATGTTCCGTTTTTAGAGTGCTTACCATAACAACGGAGCAGCTTATGGCCTAAACTCAACATCCACCCCCACCACCACCATTGCAACACTCATCTTCAATAGCGCAAATCATATGTGCCTGTGAAGAAGACATAGCTAGCGTGACACCTGATGCTAGACCACCTAAACGTTTGATTTTACAGATTTTCCCAGTGATTGGGCTAATGCTTCCAAGTTTCTAGCATTAAGAAAAAGAACAAGCCGGAGTTAGGGAGTAGCAACAACAGCGACATTTGGGTGAGTAACCTGATTTGACATTTGGGAAATTTGCCAAATGTGACATCCCCACAAAAAAACCAAGAACACCCAGTCCAAGAACAATAACTAATGAACAACACGAGCACTTTTCAGGTCTTCCTATTTTTAAGAATAGGACTACAACACCGCGCACAGGAGGTTAAGGTCATTTAAAATTAAGGTCACAATGGCAATGTATTTTGGACATGTTAAAACAGTTAGCGAAGGCTTGATATCCATGGCTGGATCGTTGGTGCAGTAAGTAGACAGGTAGTCAAATGCCCCCTTCAAAACCACTTTTGTAATTAGTGGTCTCTTTCAATAACACCAATCAACTGGAGTTATTATTGTTTGCATGCATGCCTCCTCTAACACGCTTTGACTCGTGAGCAGTCAGTTATGTTAACGCCTTATCTTACGAAGATTCATTACAAGAGGATGAAAACGCATTAGGGATTTGAAAAATCAAAGATAGAGAAGACTAAAATTTTTAATTTGTACAAGTGCACTCGTGACACACCCGCCCACACGTCCGCCAGCGCCCTCTTGTAACGAAGTCTGCGCAGGCATTGGGGGATGGTGATACACTGGCAGTGATTCATGCACCGAAAAGACGCTTTTGAAGATATCTCAATGTTTTTGCATCACGCTCTTTTGCTAATTCAACATTAGGGGTTAAACCCTCCTTACAGTGGGTGGGTGTGATACAGAGCGCTTCAGCTTATGAAAATACTGCCCTCCCAACCCCTTAAAGTGGATTGAGGAGTGCTAAATCATTCCATACTCGCTCAGGCATTTGGAAGCCTGTTTTAACTTCATTCACGTAACCCACAATTCACGGTGCACAACGCGCCCACTTACGGGGAGTGCGCAGCACAGAATAGTTTTATTCATGCAGACGGTCCATTCAGAAGTTTCAATTAATCATGACTCTGCCTTTTTCAAACGGAAGGTGAGGGAGCCAATGAAAACCGTGGCCGTCAAATAGCGCCGACATAAAGCTAACTTGAACGATATTTCGTAGTGTTATTAGTAAAGATTGATGCATGTGTGTGTGTGTGATGACTCGTACTCTTGAGATGTCTAGCAGACTGTCTTTCACTTTAAGCCTCCACTCCGCCTCATTAGCACAGGCCAAATGATCAGCTCGAACAGTTAGTTTCTGTCAGCACAGCCTACAGACTGGATCTGTTCCACAAAACCAAGTTATCACGAGATGCCACCTGACGCTGGAAGCCTAATCTGGTTCGCATAGTGCGCACTCACTTAACAAAAACGATGAGGTAGGATATGAGCGGCCACTCAAAAAAAAGGGATACAATTATCGCAAAGATACGCGCATTCTAAGCCGAAGTCACCCAGCCTGAATGTATTGTAAAGGTACTACTGAACCAGTCGGCACTGCTCATCACACCATCACCAGTATTAAACTCCAATCCGAGTGCAGATCTGCCAGTTTCTTGCCCCTTTTAAAGTTGGAAAAATGCACTATCGTTGGAAAAATCAGAACTTCAAAGGGATTTTAAACAAAACTTTGTCAGATTTTGGCTCCGTGTAAAAGAGAAGTAAAAAACGCCATTTATCTCATCAAACGCAGTCGATTAGTGAATTTCGTAAACTCTCGAGGGCAAAGGAAGACACCACATCAAAAGGCATGAATGAAATTGAAATATTTACAAGTGAGTGGACTTATTCAAACGGCAACACCGTAAAATCTATATGTGAGTGACCCGTTTCCCTTCAAAGCCAAGCAAGAAGGCAGCACTACGCCTGAGCGAGGGAGCGCCACTGTATTCCGCCCTCCAGCGCTGAAAAGTTTATTGGGAAATGATTGATGACAAATAGAATACACTCCCAAACTGTCCCTCTTTTTGGCAATTTACTAGTCACATTTCAACCGCTATTGAAATACTGTGAAGGTCAAAATCAGGATAGCGTCTTGTTGACGGATGAAATTTGAGTTCAACGGATTTTTTAACGCACACAACAAGGAAACTGAGTAAAGTGAGAATCACACCTTTGGAATCCAAAACTAGGTAACTGTCACCAACACCTCCGGTAGTGGTGACGCATGCATGATGAGCATAAAACTCCCCATGGAACCGCACAACTTCGAGCCAATGAACTTCCCAAGAAGAAAATAAAGGAAGTGGCTTATGTGTCGTCTTCCCGGATTCACTTCCGAAGGAATGGCTAAGATTGCTTTTGACGATATTTCAAGAACAACGAGAATCGAATACCAAGGCACAATTTGGCGATTCGTTTTCTTACCAATGAACTGTAACATGGGAGAATGGGTTGATGGATGGAGGAGTAACTCTGCTCCAAGATTACACATCCGTGAAATGGTACATTTAAATGAAGTTGCACCAAAAAAGCTAAAATTGGCTGAATTGGTACGTAAAAAATAATGATGCAGCGACGTTTTACAAGGCACTCCCCAATGATGCCAGCCGGTGGAGAAAGTTAGAATGGAGATCTAACATGGCTATTTTCAGGAGCATCCATGATGCTATCTCATTCCCCCAAAACAAGGTAATAATACAACAACTCCATAAGACTACTTCCCTCATCGCTCTTTTTCAACGAGACAAAAGCGTCGGAAGTCAACCATGTTAAGGTTATTTTGGAGACACTTGTGTTAAGTGTATTACGGTGGTGACATGATTAATGATTACTCAACAAGAGATTCATCGTTCGTAGATTCTTTCAATGAAAACCGAAATTGGCACAAAAGTAGGTTTGTAAAAAAAATGACGAGTGAACAACAGGAGGGAGGCGTTGGAGGTATAAATTGGGGCAAGTATGAAGTGCTCGAGTCTCCAAATCGGTAAAAGTTCCACTCCAACCAGATGTGAGATTAGGAGTCGGGAAAAAATGGACGCCTTTGTCTGACATCTCATGCCATTAATTCTTTGTCTGGAATTAGAACCTTTATACCATTAGAACCAATAGGAGAAAACTGCCTAGGTAACATCGAGGGTATTTCTACAAGTAATTGCATTGCGTGATCGTTGCTTTGGTTATGCGGCTTCTCGAGTTTCTGCGACTTTGAAAAGACGCTATTTATCCGTGAGGTGTTAACATCCTCTCTACACGACGCGAAAAATCACCCTGATTGTGTATGACCCAGCAAGTGGTACAAAAAATCAACCAAACGAAAGGACGGAGGCTGATCGCAGTACCACACAGGTTGAAACACAAATTTGCGTCATGAAATGCACTAATTTTGTTGCAAAAAGGAGAGGGAAGCGCGACAAAAGTCAAGGATTTGGGAGGAGGCATCCGCATCGCCAGTCCATCAAAACAACGTCAAAGCCAAACACAAATGCCAAGTGTAGCTTTTATCACTACGATGATGAGATAAAATAAACAGCATATCTTAGGCACGCATTTTGTTGCGTAAATGTTGCAACTCAAATCGGATCCAGATTGGGTTACATCAGATGGTGATATTTTTGTGGAACTAAAGGAATGCCCTTATTTGAATATGGATAGAAAGATGGCCTAATGCCAAGACCTACAACCACTAGTCAAGTTCACAGTCCAATGGCAGTTTATTAGAGACCTTCTAGTAGATGTGCAACGAAGTGGCAAAACAGGGGGTGCAACAGGATACCTAGAGAGCGGGGGAGAGGGAGCAGGTTTGAACTACAACAACGGCTAAGTGCCATATTTATGTGCTGCAAATACTTTAGATTCAACCTGGGATGGATGATGGCTTTCCATTAGGATAGATTGCGCAACTACGCAGTGTTGTAACGCTATCCAAGTTTTGGACAAAATTTGTACAAAAAGGGAAGACGCATAGACACACATTATTGAGAAGCGACAGTAAAAACAGACTGTTCATAAAAAATACCGCATAAAACCGCTTGAAATGAATTATTTACCACAATCACCTGCAGCCAGGTTGGAATTGGGATCCAATTATTTGGCTGATGTCAAAAATGGATTTGATAATGCCGAGGAAAGGTGATAATAATCCACGTCGATATGAAGGTAACGCGGAAGATCGGGATGGATCAGTGCCTCCTCCCAACTACAAACTCGAAATTCCTGCCAATGTGGCACAATAGCACACCCTTCCAACTAATTGATTGATCCCAAAGATCTTTATAGGCAAGAAGCTTTACGTCCACGCCCTAATTGTGCTGTAACTACTTGGCATTTGACGTGAAAGACTTCATCTGCAGCTCGCCACACGGTAACCGTATTGATGAAATGCGACTTCAAAGGACGGGCGTGTTCAATGACCATTTCCTCGTCAGCAAATAACCAACAAATTAAGTTTCCTATCGCACGAAGGGCGACTAACTGAGCATATGAAACATGTACCTCAAAACACCGTAGGCCTGTCGATCGACATAGGTGCAGAGCTGGATGACCAATCAGAGGCTAAGCAATCAACTTTACACAGTTTTTACAGGCATAAGAGAAAGTTCAACTATTGAAGAAGAAGAAGATGATGATGATGATAGCAAGTGTAAAGCACATCTAGCAAGCTCAACGGACATTCTACAATACAAGAACTCTCAATTCGAGAGGACAGATCAACTAACCGGGATTATTATTCAGATAGACTAGCCCATTACTACGCCGTGGACGGGATCAAAGAAATCGCATTCCAAAACTCCCCACGAGTCGAATGTCATTAAAGAAAACCCTTACAGCTTGGCCACCCAGTATACCACTAAGTGCATAGATCTATAAATATAAAAAATTGTCCACAAATTTCAACGAAGTGGTTATGGCTAAAAAACAGAGGCCTTGGTTCGAATCATTACCTTTTCCTTGAAACAAAGGATTCAGAAGAAGATTTTGTAATTATCGGTTAGCCAAAGCAAATAAATTGGCTCAGTTTGAAAAAGGAGGGGTTATGAAATGCAGTGAGTCCGATTCTATAAATCGAATTCCGCAATTTAGAGAAAAATGACATCGTTGTGTTGAGTTCCTCAACGAGCAAAGCAGAGAATTGGTGCACAAAATTTGAATGAGTATATGGATGCCAAACCACCATTCAAATTTGTCGATTGACAGTGCGTACGTAGTGAAGTTTCAAAACTATTTCTCGGAACAAAAGAAGCTAATCATGTCAAATCCATGAATGATTTGGAAAGGACTAAACGCACCTGAGTTGGATGGATTTGAGGTATTGGAATACATCGTCCCAAAGTGCGGCAATCACAGAGCAAACGAATGAGCAGGTAGAAAGTATAGTTCCATCGCACCGACAGCGCGTGTGTACGTATTTATACTCGAACCCGGGAGTCAGAAGTGTGCGTGTGTGTCCACACGAACGAGTACCACAACAACAACAACACGACCGCCGCCACCACCATACAGAAGGACCATATTGCAATCCTATGCACACACACACACATGCACAAACGCACGCACGCGCAGCACTCGAGAGAGAACGAAAGCAAACGGTGTGTGCACGCATCGCATGGCTCATCATTGGCTGATTAGGACTACGCACAGAGGTGGTTGGTGCGCGCCCAAGGGAGAGTGCGTACGAGCCACCATGGTAGCGCGTACGCACGCGGACTACACGCAGCACGTGACACCCAGCCAGTCAGTCGCCATTTTTAATCCGCATGGTTTTCGACTGAGGCGAGCGATCAAACCTGCTGCGTCTTTTTATCCTTAATCGGGAAAACTGTTGATCACTTTGGTCATTTTCGACTTATTGAAATCAGATGAGTCTTCTTAATAAAAGGTCGTCGTCTGAGTTCCACATCCTTAGCCTAACCACAGTGCTGGTGCTTGGCATGGTAGTTGCATCTCTTAGAATGACGCCGATATTGAGTTTGACATCTTAACTTTCACTTATGCCTATCCACCAATACCAGAGGGCAGTACATACAGAACGAACTAGAGACCAGGGGTGGGTACGTAGATATCGAAAATGAGGAACGAATTAGCTCCCTGAGCTTCTGCATGCAAATGTTTTAAACCTTGATGAAATCCTATTGCGGGAGTCCTTCAAACAGCAACAAAAAGGGAGTGAAGCTCACGGAGGCAGGTTAAATGTAGCAGATTATGGAACAGATAAAACCCAAACAAACTATCAATGCTTCCCAGAGCGCGGATTCCTGCTATGCCAAATCTTTAAGCCCCTTCATCTTTGAATAACTCGAAGAAGAATTTTATGCTAATAATCAGCATAACGAGGGCAGAAATTCAAGCGCTCCCACTTGCGTGCTAAGCGAAAACGCACCAACCTCCACTTCCGGCTTTCCTTAAAGAAGGAGGTTAAGATTACTTCGAAAAACACTTGCTATAGTAAAACCGATCTCACACTTTGCCATTTTTTAACCAAACCAAGTTGGAAGGCAAACGCGGAGTCACTGCCCCATTCCAGATGAGTACTACACTCACTAAGATGTAACAAAGCGGTCGAGACAGGTCTTAAGTATGGAAAAACCGCCAGGGATACGAGTGGGAGTGTTGAATATGCAGATGTAATGCGGTCCGTGTAACAATGGATAAAGAAGTACCACTACCACTTGTCAAACCTCAGAAAACGTCATGATGCCCAATTATGCCTTGATCCTCATCAATACTTTGACATCAACATTCACACTCCAAAGTGGGCATGCTTTTCATACACATCACCTTCACGGGATTACTAAAGTGTTTAAGCTCCCAAGGTCCGATTGGAATGTTGAATTTATAACGAACCAAAATAGTCTCCACTTTTTTTCGTAATCTCGTGGACGGGGGCGGGTCTCGTTTATGCTCAGTCAAATCCGAGCAAGCGAGTTGAAGAACAAGCGACACAGCACAACGTGAACCCAAATGGTCTCACACCGTGGCTACCAAGAAAATAAGGTTTATGGCGGTAAACATTGCGAAAAAAAATGAAAGCGCAGAGCATGGATATGAAATCCGCCATTTTGAACGACCTGACATGATAATTTTTATACAAACAGGAATCGTAACCTCAGTTAGCGGAGGGTGTCAAAGCATTGAGGACAAAAGATTATGCTAAATTGAAACGAACGAATAACGAAAGGAGAGAGAAGAGAAACAACAATTTCCACAAATCTATAAAAAAAAGAGTAACAGTAAATGTATTTTTCTTCCTTTTATGTCCTTTTTACACAAAACCATAGTCTTCAGAAAAAAGGCTTTCGCGGCTAGTGCCGATACTCAAGTTAGCAAAAGGCGGGACGGGTGTGTGCGTGCGGCCAACGTCAATGCGGGGGTTTCTTGAGCCGCCTAACCAACGCCCTGGGGTCAAGTGCGCCTACATTTCCACTGAACAACAGAGAATCTGATTGAGACGTGGCTGTGTACAGCCGATGGAGGGCTGTTGAAACCTCATCGGGGAGGTGGTCAGAGAGCATCCGAGGATGGATGATGATGGTCTGGAATTGTCTCGAGTTTGACCATATAGCGACCGGAGGATGGGTTAATTGATCTTGGCTGAAATGGAGGAAAACTACTTTTTGCACTCAAAACGAAAATGGGGCAGTAGTTAATGTACACAACTCACCACCAAGGACTCGATGTTGAGGAGTCGCTCCTCAAAGAGGCACCAGTTTGTAGTTCAGTGTCCTCAACTTGGACAATATGAACAATGAGCCCAGCAAATCGTACGCTGGTGTCCATAGAGACAAAATCGCTATAAACATCAGCAGGCTCGTTTGCTTCAACAGAGTCCGAGGCTGTGATGGTGCTGAACTCACTGGTCCTGGTAGCCGAAACGAAGGGAACGTAAATTGTACCGGACGCGTCCGTCCTAAGAAGTACATCTGTCTTGGCACGCAGCCACCGAAATAGCGATCGATTCTCGGAAAGGTATCGCACAGGTCGGCGCAAGGAAGCGGTACTTTCTACATGACACAACGCCGATCAGTGAGACACAGACAGACAGAAATTGGTATAACCTCTCCCTCCCCTCCCACCACCTCCCTTTCAAATAAACATAGACAAGAATCAGTGCACCAGATTTTTAGTCTTATTTAAAACAGGACTTAACTAGCTCACGGACAGAAATGTTGACCATGCCTGTCTGCCAAGTAGTTCGTTGCTCGCAGCGTTAGTCACCGCCTTCGTCTCCCTCGTTTTTAACCAGCAAGGTTAGGAAAATGCGCGCACACACAACTATAGTTAATGAGCTCCCCACGCGGAGTACCCAAACTTTATAAACTCAAACAGTGCTTAAAAAGGATCAGTAGAGGATTGATGCATACAAGGACATGCCTATGCAAGATGCTAAATGATTCCCCAACTGTAGAGTTTAGTAGAGAGGAGACTTGAGTGAATCGCTACTGCGGCTACACCGAGAATGCTGACCTCCGGGCGATACAATAGCCACAAGATTCAGTCCATGCCAAACATATGTATTCTACCCGAATGCTATGCCCCTTTTCAACTTCAGAGAAGTCTTAGGCCATTACAAGCATCACATTCATAAGTAATCCAGGGGACTTGGTAGTGGAGGTCGATCCCAAGCAGTAAAGCACAATTGGAAGGCAACAGGTTAAAGCTAATTATGTGGAACGTGCGCGGAACTCCGGATTGTAGTTGAAGCTTCAGAAGGTAAGTGAGGCGAAATACGGAATCCAGATCAAGTTGGACACTCTGATGGATAGTCAGGAAATAACCCATCCATCATTTAAATGCTCGTTCCAAAATGGAATATTTTAGGAATAATAACTTTTGTATCCTAAAGGCTAAAAAATGACATCTTTTATCACAATCAACGCAGTCGCATTATTCCAGTCGCCGAGTAGACTCCATTTCAACGATATCTAGGAGAGTCAACCATAATAGCTTTCATTTAGTTGACGGTGTCAGCACACCCCCACTGGTTCTTGAGCCAACTGTGAAAGGGAGAAAAATAGCAGAAAAAGTCAAACAATATCAAGAGTAGAGGACGAATATAGGAGCAGCCAAGTAACGAGGGTCTAGTATGAGGAAATGAAGGAAGAGAATGAGACGAGGGAAGTCTAGACGGGAGCCCACTTTAACCGATGAATACTAGACAGTATGAAGTTGCATTTGCCCAAATAGACGCACCTCAACCCTAACGTATAAACAATGAACCAAATTGCAGGAGACTTTACATTAAAATGCAGAAAAGTACGCAGAGTTATAACTTTAACTGTGAACAAACCGCGCCAACCGAAGTGAATGGTGATCTCTCTCAATTTAAAAAAAGTTCTATAAACAGACAGAAAGGAGTAAAGAGTGGACGAATAAAATCTCCAACCAAAGCAACAAAATGGGCAAGGAAAATACCAAGGATGATGGTATAACAAAACCAAGTAGTGCAAATAACGCCAATAGAAGTGAAAGCGTAGTTATTATTACCAAGACCATCCAGTTCCAGCTCATCTAAATGAAAAATAAAGGCATTAGCACTGTAATGAGCCTTATATAAAAAGAGGTGCGAAAGCGCTGACAGAAGATGACCAATTTTCTAGGGCCTAGTGACAGACTAACTCGTGAATTGCTTTCCCGATGCATCGGGAAATGCCTTTTGGTTTACTCAAGGAGAGATGAAAAAAGCAAAAGGAGTAGAAAAGTGATCAAAGGGAAGGTAAACAGATGTATACACTTCATTCTACCAAGGCATACTTAGTGCGAACAGCGCTTGTAGGGTTACAAATTAGGCCAAATTAGCAGAACCGAAAAGGGCAATGCAATCTTGCCAGTGGTATTGAGAAGGCCCGGAAACCAAAAGGAATTAAGCATACAAACTAGGGGTCTAAACATGGAACACGACAGCAGGTGTCACAATGTAAATGTGTGAACTAGAGCAAAAAACCGGACACGAAACGATTACGATACCTCCAGCATGGAAGCGTGCGAATGAGAATCGACACAAGGTCAGGCGATCGAAAGGAAAACAATAAAATTAGGAATTTGCAGAATTTTTTTTCGGCTCAGTAACTTATGCATACAATAACCTTAATTTATTTTATGAAATAGAGGTGAGTGAAGAGATTTAAAAATTTCAGTGAACTGTATCGGCACCGTTTTATCCAAAGCAGTAATCACACACTCTTGGCACAGAGTTTCAGCAAAGCTCAATCTGGGAGATGTTTTTTGAAGGAAATCTCCGAAAATCAACAGAGAACATATATTTCTTTTAAGAAACCATCTAAGATCCTGTCGAAGAAGTGGTCTAGAACTCCACATTATTTGATCACAGAATCAATTTCCCAACAGGCAATTTAGAGAGTTTCAGGTGAAGAAGCATTCTTTAGGTTCACAATGTACCTCGTGCATATGATTGTAAAGCAGATAGTAAATTGATGTGTCAATTAACCATGTAGCTTAAAACGAAAGAGAAGGTAGCCAGGAAAGTGTTGAAGTGTTCCACTAAGCCGACGAGTACAGGAGGCAAGAAATGAAAGCAGGCATCAGAAAGAACCAACCGGCCCGGTGGAGGATAGAGCTCCATCGAGTGGAAACTCAACTCAACGAATATAGGCTTCGGAATCTAAACAACTTCAAATCATTAGTTGATCAACTGATATAATTCTAATAAAAAAGGAAGCCAACTTCGATCAGCACTTTTGCCGACAGTAAATATAACTTCCACCTAAGATCGTCATCAGAGGACAATTTTAAACCCCCATTACAACCTACCGGTTACAAAATCACTGTATTCCGTAGAGGAAGAAATTGCGGGTGCTCCTCTTGGACTGAAGACTTTTGGTCGAAGGAGATTATACTGACAAGACGCGCTAAAGAGACGCGTGTCCAATCCGATGGTGTTTGATGAGGGACGACAGAAGGAGGGGAAGAGACAGTTTAGGCCTACGATTCTAACCGCGTTGGCGAGAATGCGGTACTTGGGAACGTTGCAATCTTGCAGCGCCGACAGTAGCCGCCATTTGAGGTCGTTGAGTGTGGGAATGCTGAGACGAGGAACGATGTCGCATCCCAGTACGATGGAAACAACAAAGGGCTTGCAGTAGCGAGCCATACGCGCACTAGATTCGGTGCAAGGGAGAAAGAGGTCATTCAAGTTAAAATTTTATAGATTCGGGTCTTTCAAAAAACGGTCAAAGTTACAATAGACGATAGAAAGTGGTCAGAAATACACCAGCACCATAACGAAAACAGCTCATACAAATGAGCTTTTGAACTAAAAACACCCTCTCACCAATTGCCTAAAAGGAACAGTAACAATTGTGCAAACTGCCATAACAGGAGTGTAAGTAGGGCTATAAGAAGGGTTACACCCATAGGACATGCATAAGGGAAAATAATTTGGATTCACAGAAATTTAAAGACAGTCTTCACGGGGAAATGCGTGGTTGAGAATTAGCGATAGGTGATTGGCCTTTACCCCAACAAGGAGTTAAGAGCCAAAATTACCCACTAGCTCCATGAAGGCAACCATACAGCAATGGCGATGTAAAGGTAGATCTGTAGTTGAATTTCCCTTTTGGACATGAGGCAAACGCTACACCATAAATCCATCAACCGCCTCGAATTCCTGGGAAAATTGAGGCCAATACGCCTAGACTTTTACGCAAAAAATCCCGATTGAAATAGAGGCACGGATCTAAATCACATGAGCAGTGAATGAAAGCAGCGGTTGAGACCAAAGTGTGCGATATTGCGATCTAGTGAATTCACCAACGCCAGTACATTTCGCATCATATTCGAACCAAGAATTCATGATCCTCACAAATACTCGACATCAGCTAGGGTCATGATTTTTAAGGCGCCAAAGTATGAATAACAATGCGAAGGGTCGTGTCAATAAAATGTGGGAATGGGTTGCTCAAAGTTCCAACCGTAAGACTGAAAAATGTGTGAGCAGCAAGTGATTCAAGAGAAGCTTCTAGTTAACATTAACTTAACAATGTATTTACTGAGTTACCCATTCGTTTGATTCGTATCACAAACAAGGGGGGAAGTGCGGGTGAAAGCTGACCAAGTGAAGAAAGCATGGAAATTTCGATGACGAAAAAATCGTACCAACAATTCAATCTGGGTCGACAAACGTATATAAAAAATAAATTTTACTTAAACAATTTAAGTAAAAATACCTCATCAAGCCAAGCGGAGGGCTGTAGGCATAAGCCTTGACTTCAGGGTAGTACTTCCGTAGAAGAAAGGCCAGTACAGAGGCTACACCGGCACCTAAACTGTGACCACAAACCACCAAGGGGTAAGAGGCTCGCTTGACACGAGCCTTCTCTACCAACTGGAGACGAAGGATGATATCTCTTAGGTTACGCGCAGTGTAAAGGATTCCCATGTGCACGTAGAAGTCGGGAACTTGGTCTGCAGGCACGTCGGATGGTATTTCATCAGACAGAGGACGTTTGCCTTCCGCAAGCATGTCAACGATAACATCTTCGGGCGAGAGTGTCCCACGAATTGCAATAATGATGGACTCAGAGTCATCGTCATATGCCACAAAGAAGGGAGATTGGTAGACCTGGGCGAAGAACAAAGAAGCAAAGTTTAAGAACTCAAATGCATTGTGAAAAAGAAACGCCGCAAGGCGACATGACCAGTCCCCACGATACCATGGCCAAAACATTATCGAGGAACATTCATATAAGTTGAGGCGTGATTGCCACCCCAGTTTTCGCGTTTCTACTTTACCTTGGCCAAAAGTAAGCATTCAGCTTTGCCCACGAAATCAATGGGAACTTTAGAGCCGTTTCATCACAAATGCCACTTAAACTAGTACGAGAATAGATGCATTTATTTTTGAAATCGGTTTAAGAAGGGTCTGGTATCCAAAAGCTAGAAAACAAACTTAGTTTAAGTGAGCAAAGAGGTCATTTTACACTCTACGAAAATAGTTACAATCCTTTTGCCTGAAATTTGTGACAAATGTCTGATCGTTAAAATCGGCAATACTTTGTCTAATGCTAACAAGTCTGTTGACAAAACGTTTGTTTACTGTTGGATTCCGACCCAAAATAAATGAAACGACTTCGACCGAGCGAGTGATAGTCTTTGAGAGGGCTTTTAGGCACACAAGTACCCCATTCTTCTTCTTCTTCTTTGTGTGTAGTGACAATATCAAAATAAATGCGATAGCTTATTGGTTAACCACTTAATTCTAATTTGCTTAAAGTCACGGTTAAGTGTGCGTTACCAAAACCTCGAAACCACCTCGTGTGGGCAGTAAACAGGTTTAAGTGGGGTATGGCATTTACCCTTGTCGAAGAAGATGCAACAGGTAGGCAAAAGCTTCTCACAACGATGCACGACTTCCAAACAAAGCGCAACTATAACTGGCTTACTATCCAAATTAGTTAGCAAACTATTTCACCATTTCATACGTTGGCAAAAGTAGTAGAGACTAATGCAATGCGTTAAGCACGACAAGTGTATCAGGAGCTCAGGGTAGGGCGTCAAGTCAACTCCGATGAGGTGAATGCTTTGGAGCCTGCGTAAACCATGGTGGCTCAATATAGAGGCCTCGACTGCAACATGACAAATCTGGAGTGTTGAGAAAAGTCACAAACAGAGGAACGGCCTCAAACCGTTTTGACAGAGATACAGGTAAGAATTATCTTTTATAAGTTGAAAGGTAAAAATGAAAGGCAAAATAAAACCAACTTCTTTCCATTACAGTACCGGAAAAGGCAACGGAGGGTTACATCTCAATGCTTACCGTTGGACAGGGGACGAAGGGAGTTAGTGATATTCAAGGACTGGGAATGAGCATTCTTCATTCCCATGAGCGGTGGTTCAATCCTCACAAATCAGCTAATGGAACGGCAATCAAGTGAACCCAATCAGTAGTAGCATAAAAAGAGGCATCCACCCCACCGGAAACTTGGCTACACTGAAAACTCTCAGAACAGAAGCACCATGGAGGAGTGAATAACTGCCAGTGTAATGGTCAATGGAAGAATAAATTCTTAAGAAAAAAAGCTGTAAAACTCTCAAACATCAGGGAAATTCTGACTCCATCAGGGAATCTCCCAAGCCCAAAAATCGCAAGGAGGAAAAAAAAACTCTAAAAGCCAGATCAACAAAATTCCCTGTTTTCCCCGTGGGTACACAAAGGGTGAGTTAATTTATCCAACAAATTGGTAATTTTGATAGACTGGATGGCGAAAGTAGATGGCCAATTTATCTCCAAACCATCGGTGAAGACAGCAACTGTTTGGGCTGATCGTAACCAGATTGGTTTTTTTAATCCCACAACTCTCGGACAGATGGGATACCCATCTGTCCTTTAATGGCAGCCCTAAAGCAAAACAATGCAGTGACCTGTCCGAGAAGGAAGGAAATCCAATACGCAATGGGGGAGAAGAAAATCGTGTCCTTCCTAAATTTGCTTTATTTCACAAAAATCGCATTCACTCACATAAGTGGTTCTAAAATGAGATAAGAAAAATACTTTTCAATGCCTGCCCAAATCAGAACTGAAAAGCAACCACATGACTTAGGATTAAATTCTCTCCAAAAAGGCGTCAAAATGGGCGGCACTACAAAACCTACCGCATCCTATAGAACAAGTAAAATAGAAACTCAAAAGATCCACCCAAAAAGAAAGGAAATATGAAGTGAGGAACTTTGGTTGGGACAGTTCAAAAACGAAATGGCAACAAATCCGCATTGAAGCCAACGACACGCTTCTTGGATAACAGCCCGATAGAGAAGACTTGAAAGATGAAGTGCATGAAAAAAACTTACATTATTTACAAAAGAGTAGTATACAAGACTTTCAATGGGTGCTCCAGTGATTTCTTGGTATACAGCCAGATTGCAGGTATCATGCTTGCAAATGCAACAACCCATTGAGATTTCGTCTGAGGGAGCCAAGAAGGGATGTGATTCGGCATCTCCTCCCGTTTCACTGAAATGCAAAAAAAAAAAACGTGAAGGAGATTGAGTTACGTCAATATCGCTGAGCATAAAACAGTAGCTTTGCTGTAAAAACCTCCAAGGCTAAGCAGATTATGACGTAATAATGAGACACCACTATCAGTACGAGGGAGTGACCCCTCTAGGTTTCGCATAACCAATCGCATAGGAGTAACTGTAGGCGTTCAACAAGCGTCCTCCAGGATCTTACCATTTGTCCTTAAACGATTGTCGTCATCAGTGCAAGGGAATCTTTCATACCTATTCCATTGTTTTAGACTCAGTAAATTTATTAAGAACGACCAAGGGATGGGCAAAGGTGATAAATGGTATGCACTGTCCGCATATAAGGAAGTCGAGGCGTTGAATGAGTCCAACAAAGAGATTTAGACTACACATTTGAAGACCGGTATTAAGTCAAACGGGCTATCTTCACAGGGTTGGAAACGCAATGACAATTTACTCAAAAACAACCGAAATGATGACTCAGACAAGAGGAAGTAAAAGCACCAATAAATTGGTGCTTTAATCTAAGAGAATGCCATACCAGGAGAATTCGCTTGACTGTTTGCAGTGAAGATACGTACATCCCAGTTAGTCGCATTTCCAATCCTGCTGAGATGTGAACACCAGCCACATACGATGCATCTATGATGATGGCTTTATGGCAGGAATAACGCAAAGTTAATTAATGCAGTGTCAGCCAGCCTCTTTGCCATGCTTGTAAACTCCCAAATAGTTGTTGAAGCCGTAGTTTAAGTCGAACCAGTAATCATAGTACCTTAGATTCGTACAGTTTCGAGAAAATAGTGCAGGTCTTCGTAATGAAGCTCAGAGTTTGCGCCTCTGACATACCAAAGATAGACGTAAATCAGCCATGGCTGCGCAATAACATGGCAGAACCATGAACATGACGAACTACGTCTCTTGTAAGGTAGTTCAAATGGGGCCTTCGTGACGTTGGTTTGACACCACATAAGTGACTTGGAAAAAAGTTGAAAAATGGAGATACAAAAATCCAGTTTCGGGAACACACTCGAAGGCCTTTTACCTTTCGGATAAACTGAAGCCAGATGCATGATCTTCACTGTGCCCGACTAAAATGAAGCTGCTTACCCATAGAGCGAAAGAAATGAGAACCATCAAAAATTGGAACTACCACTTGGAAGATTACATCATGGGTTCTGTTAAGTACCAATTTACTTTTAATACAACCCCCAAATCAACGAGATAAACACCTGACAAATAGTCGAATGATCACAGAGGACGACGTAACTCCAAATAGCACCGATACGAGTAATTAAAAGTAAAAGTGAAACAAGAACAGATACAACATGAGAATGTGTCAACCTTAACTACTCAGTTGATCTATTGCGCATTTTCGGCGTCTCAACAGGGACTAGCAGAGTGAATCAAAAGTCCGGAAGTAATTCAAGCAGAGCCAGAAAGCGAACCACCATATGCGCAGGCTGACGGTGAGGATCAGCATTGTTTCGACGAACTGTATTAATGCGATATCTGAAAGACCTCTGTAGGCGAACGCTTTCCACATGCCATGAATATTATCCATGAAATTCGTCAGACAATTCAACTACAGCTCACAAATGGCAGTCATATACACTGAGGAGAGGAATGAGGCAAATTGACAACACATAGGATTCTCTCTGACCTGCGGATGATTAACTCTTGAGTGCCGGTTTAAACGATGAATTCGGCAGTAAGCTGGAAGATGTGACAGTATAAGGGTGAAAAGGTCAATTTCCCTTCAAAACACTGATAGGTGAAGGAACAATCGTACATTCTCGTTCGTACAACTTTTCTAGTTATTGGAAAGTGAGATGCACTGCAATGAATGCCGATGAGGGGGGATCAGCCTCCCAAAATTAGTCTGGTTTTCGGTAATCATTCCAGCTTGCGGCCGTCACCAAAAAAGCCGTCGTGAGTCATTGCAGCTACTAAGTCAACGTGATAGCTAAGCCCCGGCTGTTTCCCATGTTTAAACCTAACACCAAATTCAACCAAATAACCTCAACGTCAAACAACGTCAAGTGCCTGAAAATGAGTTATGGGTTATGGTAATGAATTTATACTCTCAAAAGGATGCGTATACTATGCTATTATTTACGTACAACCCGTGCTTCCGGCGTGATAAACTTTCAATACTACAACTGGAAGTATTAGAAAGGGTTTTCTCAAGACAACTCACCAGACATACAAATCGCACAAGGACGCTCACAACGACAAAGCAAGAAATAATGAGAAACGATGTGAAATTTAAAGAACAATAAGAATTAAAACACCATCTTGAGGTAGTGACGTGAATGCTGTTTTTGGTGAATCAAATCGAAGGATAGAACATCAGTATTCAAAGACGCAATACTTCAAACAAAGGAAAAGGGAACCGAAATTCTCAAAACCCTCCACAGTGCCTTTGGTTGAAGTAAATTTTGAGAAGATCATGCTCCAAATAGCACGACTTATTTGCAACAAAATGGATCACAAAGGATCAAAGCTGCCTATGTTCAAAGTATTGACGACAGTGAAATTATGCCGGGTAAAAAGACTGAATTCCCGTCCTTAACTAGGAAGGAAAGTGTTTATGATCCTATTCACAGGTGAAAAAAGAGAGCGGCTGTGCTTGAGAAGGTTAAGATAGGATAATTCAGACCAACAAAGTCGAAAACAGCCTTGACATGTGATACAGGTTGCAATGTGACCGCGTTTAAGGATGACATGCATCCCAAAGGGTCGTTTGTT